TGTAGACAGCACGTGGGATATTACATCCAAGCTTTAAGGTGACGAAAGCTGTCACAGCACCACGCCCTACGGTATTCAAGTCGTTGCAACAGCTGAATAAATCTTCTCACCATCAAGTCACATGATTAAGATCCAAACACAACAAATTACAGATCGCGGCCTTGAGCAGACATCCATTGCTAGTTCGATACGGTACTGCTGATTGGCCGTGCTGTTGCGGTTACTAGTCACTGCCTTGATTTAGGACTTAGCCATCATTGGATGCAAACGTCTCCAATATGAAAACAAGTGCCATATTGACGTCAGCTTTTTGACAAGGCAATGACAGACAAAGATATGACAAAAGGTAGTAGACAAAACAGAATTTTACCAATTAATTACTCATCAGTACCTAATGACACTTAAACACGGAGTAGGCCTCGTTGTAATTCACGTAAATCAGCCTCCAGCCGAGGTCCGGTCAACCGGCAGACCGGGTAACAAGAAATTTCGCTCAACTACCTAACTATATGTCTCAAATTTGAGATATATCGTCACTGTAGACATAAATTTATATTAGGAGGTTGCTAGAGTTGGATTTTCATCCCACTTTCTTTCCCTTGGAATCTATCAGGCTGTAGTTTAGAGGGCCGTTCATATGTACTATTTGTGGCAGATGACACGTTGTAGGTCCCCTACCATTTGGGGATTTGGGGATTTAATAAATGCTCGCAGACACGAAGCAATTTCGGTTATCGACAACCCACAGTCTCTCGTCTTGTCATTGCGTGGCATGGACGTCGTGTCAAGATAGGTATCACCAATAAAATAATACCTACATTTAAACTTCTTAGGCGACGATCATAGCTTCTTCTCGTCTCCTTCCGGTGGGTAGACGATAAAATATACTGGCTAACGGTTTTCTTATAATGCCAAAGGCCTACTTTACCTTAGGTAGTCACACCTAAATAACTTTGGGGTATATTTTCTTGATTTCTTACCAATGAATGGGGGTAATGTGACCGAAGCAGCTGGAACATATTTCATCGGCGACATACACTCCCGTCCGAGGTACATGCTCTCTCTTAGCAGCACTTGAGATGCATAAGTAGGAGTCCAACCATGGATGGCTTCCCCGCTCCTAGAGGGATCGTCAAGCAGGTAGTTCTCCAAAAACCATCGAGCTTAACAACATCGCGTCCCGGTCTCTAAGACGGAGGTTAATCTCGAGTCAACTACCGAGTGGTTCCTTGATTGCCGAATGGCATAATCAGGTCCATAATTCGGAACTCTAGTCCCAAGCTTTCTCCAAATCGCACCCATGAGAGGGTAGACGAGCGTGCCATTAGATGGTTATGACTTCGTTAAGATATCTAGTGCCTTCTAGCGAAAGTCATAAAATCCCAACATATTTTCATTAATAGTCTGTATCCCCTTACAGTACTACGAATAAATAGCTTATATCTTATTGGAAAACACACGAAGTATTGCGCGCAAGAAAGTGGGTTATCTGCACGACTTCGTCATTTTGTTCTTTTCCGTGTGTTGTAAGATAGCTGTCGTATAACTACGGATGCTAGGTACTCGAGATAGGACCAGCCCCTAGTGTCAACTCTCTCCCTCATTGGAATATATTATTCCGGATGTGTCTCTGGTTCTTAGGTGCTCGATGGCATTAGTGTCACTCCCACCGTGATAGAGGTCCAGATGAGGACGAGTGACGAAATAGGAAAAAGTAGGATAAATAATTTCGCAAGTGTCAATTTCTATAGTCCCTCGAAGGTTGACTATGTCAGAGACTAAAACGCCTGTAAAAGTTGAAGGTAAGAATTCTAAAATAGGGGCAATATCTTAACCAGGGTGAGACACTGACTCAAATCATCCTCTCTATGGTTCTAGATGAAAAGCATAATCTACAATACAAGAAGTAACTATCGGTATTTCAAAAGAGTATTATTCTATGAGGGCCGGGGCTTGGTTATAATCCTGTCGGCTTACCGAGGTAGTATATCTAACATTTTACGATATTTATATAACGATTCACTAATATTGAGCTATCTGAAATACTTCATACTACGATACAGCTATATAAGGATTGAGTACGTGTTTCGCCTTTGTCTAGCAGGATTCTATCCTTTAGACCAACGAAGAAATATTCGCAGTTTGAAGATTTCGTGTTGGCTTAAGATAGTGGCATAATATATATCTGGCTACATAAAATTGGTAGCGCTCATCAGTATATGTTAACAAGACAAGATATCATGGCTTAGGATATATTAGCATGACCTTATGAACTATAGCACTGATCCTTTCACCCCTTAACACATAAGGCCTCGTTTAGACCTTACGCAGAGCTAAAAAAGGGTTATATTGACTTATATCGTCTACATATAATTCAAAGTTGACTTTCCATACGCGATACAGTAATCACTATATTGTTAACTACCTAGGTACTCGATGTATTCTCAACCGGGAAGTTAGCCAATAAAGTTCATCTCATTTATGCCTAGAGATAATCTTACAGGAGGTCAACAAATTCCCATTCAGGTTCTTCCCCGGAATATGACGTTGCAGTTTGGATCTAGCACCTACGCTAGAAGGCTGAAGCGAAGTACTACTCACAACGGCATATCGAAGTATGTAGGATACATCTCGGCTGATACATGCTGCTTCTAGGGATTATGTGGTTTGTTGTCATAGCTCCTATATATGTATTTGACTACCAGTTCGATATAAGATATCTGTCTATGAGTAACCTTACCCCTTTACCACTTTCCAGCTGTGATTAGGTAGAGTTTAAATAGCAGTTATACGTACACTACCTCCGTCCTATTAGTACGTATTTTCGATATTGACTTCCGCAAAGCGTATTCGTGGCATCTTACACATTGCTCACACTTGATCCCCCTTCCCCTGTATGAATATCATCTACTACCATGACCAGATTATAGCCAAGGATTCCTCGTAGCTATCGACAAGGCTTTCAAGGAAGCAAGAGATGTTGGACAAGGTTATATGGTGTATTGTGTTGGGAGTGAAGTGAAGTAGAAACTTCAAATCTAATTGGTTACCCTAGTCTCCGATACTCTGGGACTAACCGCGCGGCTGGGGAGGTCGATGATCTACACGATCCCTGACCCATGTTTCGGCCAGGGTCTAACTAGTGTATGTCAGGTACTGGTGCGGGACATAAGAAATACCTACTAATCCCTTAAGGTCGCATCTACGTATCATCATCGATCGGTCGGAAAAATAGCCGAATCTCAGGACCGGTCATGCGAGTGTCGTATTGCAGTAACATCTCTACGGAAATACCTAGTCCACGTGTAGTTATGAAGGCTACGGCTAGGCCAAGCCTTATAAGCAATGTACCGAGCATTTACCCCTTTTCTTCGTTTCGATCTCGGTTTCAGTTTTTTGTCCGATGTAGCTGTCTTCGGAGATACAGATAAAGTGCAATCATTCATCCTAGAAACTGTAGAATATCTCATTAGTGAGTATTATAATAGCCTCATCTGTAGACTTGGCCTTTCATAAAGTAGTTCCTACAGCAGAATGACTACCAGTTTAAAAGAGCTGCTAATTCGATTTATGATAGTCATCCGAATTTCGGTATTCGTAAACAGATTATCAAGCATTAGTTATTCATTTGGAAAATCTAGTCAAGTGATGGAGGCGCGGAGGCGCTTTTCGTAATAGGTTCATGTAAAACCAAGCCAAGAAAGGATTTCACTTCAATGATCAGTCTTGGAAGACGGGTGGGAAGACAGACTGATGATCTACTCAACAAGCAAGTATTAATAAGATTTGACTAAATGGTATTTATTACCTTGAATATTACCTACGTTTACTAGTAGTTTAATAAGACGAAAGGGTCTTCAAGTTTCAACAACGTTTACATTAAGAGCGTTGACCATGAAAGGACGCCAACTTGACAAAACAAGCGATACCATCATCCCTCCTGTTGAAACTCATTTTCTCCGCCATTTAGCAACTACTATCCCATCTCGAGCACTATTAAGTATTATTCTCTAACCTCCTAGATTATACATCATATTATTCAACTTACGCTGTGAAAATTGACACAAAGACACATTTACCATAAAAAATGGGATCTATTTATTGAATGATAGGGCACCTGAAGTGTGTGTCTGTGTTCCTAGGCATGAGCTATATAGGACGTGTAAGTTTCTCATTAGATGTTGGAAGTGACCAGAAGTGCAGTATTTTAACAGCAAAGTCTAGCGGCATTGACTCAAGCTACCATTCTCAGCTTCACGTATTTTACATCTGATATTGTCGAATTTGCTTTCATCGATACGTATAAAGTAAACTAATGCGTGGCCTAGCCTCTACATATTTGATATTACCAATTTCAGAGCGCGCAACATCCTTCGCTAGAACGCTACTAAGATGTCTAAACATCACCTACGCCCCCAGAGAACCGATCCACCTTCATTTTGACTCAAGGTGAGGAGATAATAAGATAAACACTCAATTGCAAGAATATACGGGACTAAGCCTCGGTCTCTTCTCAGCCTAGCATTTGCTTCAATCATAGCGCCGTCGTCGCAGACCCAGCAGGCAGTTAGTCCCTCCGTAGGCTCGAAGACCTTAAACTAAAACCTGACGGCAACAGATAAAGAAATCCTTCGCACGCACAACATAAGATGGCCGTCCGGTCCGTTTCCCTTTCTCGAACGCCTGTTAGACATTAAAAAAAGAGAAACCTCGTAGAAAAAAAAAAGTTGGTATGTATCAGAGGCCCTCCTCCCCTCAAACTCCTAAGAATCATTTCATTTCCCTTCCCTAGATATAAATAACTCATCGCGCGCGTGTTGTGAAACTGACGATGAACAATGAAAAATGATGCGATCCAGCCCGAGCTGGCTGCTTTAAGTCTGCAAATACAGTGTAGGGAGAAATGAAGAAGAAGAAGACGAAGAAGAAATAAAAAAGATAAAAAAGGGTGTAGTAGAACTAAAAGCACAGCTATGATACAGTATTAAATAATCCCCGCATTAACGTCTTCGGTAGGGCGTCTTACGCCTTTTCGTCTTGGCGTTACTCTTTTTCGTAGGGCTAGGGGCACTGACGGCGGCGGGTTCCGCTGTCTCGGTAGTATTGGCTGGTGATGCCGTGATGCTATCTTCGTTAATCTCGACTCCTAGCCCCTTGAGCTCATCTTCGTCGATCTCGGTAAGTTCCTCACTAAGGCTACGGGCAGCATCCCTGCCTTGCCACTGGTCTTGGATTGCGGACGCTCCTTCAGGCTCAAAATCCTGCAAGTACCACACAACGCCGCCGTCGGTAAGAGGATCAGTGGGCTGGCGTCCTAAACTACCATTGGACTGGGGTGGAGTAGGTGGCGCAGGTTGTAGCGAAGGTCCCGCACCCACGTAGCCGTTAGTTGCTGGCGGCGTATCTATTGCTTGCAAGCCGTCATTCGGTATTGCTTCCTGCTTAGCCTCGACCATTGATACTCCATTACTAGTCGGTTGAACACCTTCCATCTCATCGCTCGTGTCGAAGCTGGATGTGTTGACTTCAATATTACCATTGCCGCCGGCGACCTCATACTGGACGCCAGCTTCAACCATCGGAACGTCGCCCGAGGGTCCTCCGGCCGTAGAGCCATCTGCTTGGCCGCCGACGGTGATCTCCGGAGCTGACGAATCGACCATAATGACATCTTGACTTCGCTCGGACTCCACGTTGCCTTGTCCAACAGGCTGTTGTCGGAGTTCCAGGCTTGCCTCCATCATGACTTCCAGCTCCTGCCTCATGCTGTCGAACGGCCTATGGGCAGCTTCTGACTCAAGACGCAACGCTGTCTCTAGCTGTGGTTGAACCGACTTAAGGATTCTTTTACCAAGCTTTTTCCTATCCCTATAATCAGAGAAGTCAGATTTAGACGCCGCTGGAGTGACAGGTCCAGCTTTTTGTTGCGACTCGGGTTCAAACTTAGGCTCCGTGTTCACGCCGACGTTGATGACATCACAGAGATCGTGGGTAAACGACAATGTTGTGGTATAGAATCTATCATCAATTCTATTGGACAACTTAATAAGTCCGTCGTGAAACAGGTTCTTATCAAGGCTAATAAGCATTAAGTTGTCAGCATACTAAAATATCATGATGATCGATTTAAACGGCGTGACTCACGTGATAGCTTTATCTACAATCGGTGGAAGCATCTTGTGAACAGGAAAGTAGCAGGTGTCGACAAATTCCTGTTCCATCTCCGCGGCCTCGAGCTTGCTCTGCTCCCTTTGGACGACAGCCTCCGATAGGGCCTTGAGCTGCTCCAAGTCTTTAATAAGAGTGTCCGAAAATTCGATTCGCCTATTCAAGCGAGTTATTCCGGAAGGGCCCATAGCTGCGAAGTTGCGTCGTGTAAGCTCCATAGAGGAGAAAGATTCCATCTGTAACTGCAAACGCTTAAGAAGCGCAGCACCACGGCGCGCTTCGCGCTTCAATGTCCAATAACGGCATGCGTCGCTCACAAACTCCTTACGCTTGAGGAAATTGAATCGCTGCAGTGATGCTTCGACAATTTCAAAGACGGCCTGTGGTATCACAGGAGCTCCAGATGGAAGCTTCCATATCGGCTTCCCTGTCTGTCCCTTCTTATCCCCAAGGACAGCGGACAACTTCGCCCCGGTCATTTGCGACTCGTCGGGTGGGTGCTCGGTGATCGCATTCCGGTGTGATGCTGCAATAGACATAGCTTTAGCTTGACTATTAGCCCAGATCCGGTCGCTCATTGTCTTCTTATAGTATTTTTTGGCTCTTTTAGTAGCGCGAACTACGTCATTCTCTTTAGCGTACTCAGAAGGACAGTGTTTATCGCAAAGCGCCTTTAGATTTGTACTGCCGTCGAGGACATCTAAAGCTCCTGAACTATTCTTCATCTTTAAGAATAGTCGGGCGCGGCGGGCACATGTCACATGGAAGGCCTGGTAACATGCCTTGTTACCGCATTGTATGCAGGCACCCATTTGCTGGTTACAAATGTAACATGTTAACTTCCAGCGACTCTTCGGCACCTTATCCACGTCCATGACGGGTTCCATGAAGGTATGATTGCCCAATGTCACCTCTGGAATCCACATAGCGCAGAGCAGATGCGCCCACTTAGAGGAATTCGTCTGCTTGAAGGCACCATCAGAGTTGGGACAGAAGATACAGGTCTAGATTTACTTATTAGTACGGGGCTTAGAGTAGAGCGGGACTAAAGGAAACTAACCGGGATCCCACGACCAATAAGCTGGCATTTCCGACATAACCATTGGCCCTCCGGAATAAATGGAACACCATAACACTCCTGGTGGACCGCGAGATCGCAGCCGTCACAAAAAACAATTGCGTTTGTATTCTCGCAATCCCCGTCGTCGCAAATCGCGCACTTACTATCCTGCTCTTCCCCGGCCTGCGGCTCGCCATTTACGGCTGCAGCGGAGCTAGAACGAGGCCTGTGAGTTTGCGGCGGCTTAGGATTGGGCTTCGGGATTCTCTTCTCTAGGGCGTGCCACTCCTTTTCAATCTTGGTGATGGTGATTTCGAAGACTTCACGGGTGACCGGGTTCCAGCCCTGCGACTTTCTATGTGCATTGTACGACTCCAGCCACATATCGTCCTGTTCGTCCATGTCATATTCGACACGACCTAGCACATTAGTCGGCTGAAGCGCCGATTCTCCATCAGCCTTAACAACAGCAGCCTGTTCAGCTTCATCCTCAATATTAGCATCGCTTGCTTTAATTAGTTTTCTATCAGGTCGAATGAAGTTGTCACTCTCCTGGTACCCGACATTCATCATTGCCTTGTCAACATATCGAGCCTGACCGAACTTTTTGCTCTCAAAAAGTAATATGCGGTCAGTTTTACGATATGAAGGTTGTTTCAGGTCAAGCTTCTCCTTAGTATTCTGACCGTGAATAGGTAGAGGCGTGGGTGTGTTTGGTGCCACTTGCTGATCCCCACGAGTAGCATAAAGTGAGTCTCCGCGAGGTAGTCGACTGCCACGCCTTCTAGATGGAGTTACTAAAAGGGCACCAACAGGTGTAGTAGTATTCGTGATACTCTGCGTATTCAAGAGAGATGTAGATGCCGCATTTGGGTCCTTCGACGGGCTATTGGTATCATTATAATCTATGCCAATAATCTTCGCTGATGGTGTCTCTGGTATTAGTTTCGCGGTTCCGTCAACATCTTCAGCGCGAAATAGCATAAATGTGGCATCTATATCGAGATTCGGGTGAAATTCCTCCCAGCCGCGCTCCTCTCTAGGTTTATAACCTTCGCTCTGCACAACAGCAGCAGCCACTGCTGCTGCGGAACTTATTTGCATCTCATCGTCTGCCTCGACTCGAGTTGCGGTACGGGTGCGAGTACTACGTTCACGTCTGGGGTAGATAGCGGGGGACGCCGCACCGTTTTGCAAACTGTGCCGTGCCCTCGAACGACTGGTAGTCGCAACAGGTGTGTCGACTTGTTCGTTGCCAGCTTGGTCCGTAAATCTACTAGCACTACCAGAAGCACTAGCGGTGTATCGTCGACGCTTTGAAGGGGGTTCAGTAGCAGCTACAATGCTGCCGTCCCTAACGCGTCGCACTGTGTTGATAGAGCCCTTAGGACGACCACGGGGGCGTGAAAGAGCGGACTGCCGCGGTGTTCTCGGGCTAGGTGCCATCGTTTCTAAGGGATCTATATCGTTTCTTGATATAAATTTAGTGATGATAATGGTGCCCTAATCAGCGCGTCGCAAAGAGGAGGCGAGGGGGGCTATGATGCGGTCGAAGTCGGCAAACAGGCATTTGAGAAGGATCACTCGGATATGTAGAATGTTGTATATTGACGATAAGAGGTTTCGGAGGGTATTTGTTGGACAAAAAGGTCGAGTATAGAAGTCAAGGTTAAGGAGATGTCGTCGAGAAACGGCGAAAAGTAGTCAGGACGCGCTGGTGAAGTCGGCTGGAGGTGTTGGGTCTAGCCCCTAAGGGAAAAGTTCAACGCGCCACAGTTACGTAAGCGATAAGCAGCCCCTCTCCACCCCGGACAATTTCTTGTCTGCAACTCCCCGAATCTATGGGTCAGCCACTTGTGCTTTGTAGATCTTCTCCACTGATATCGTTATTGGGACGAACCCTATGTCATGTGTAGATATTTCAACCACAGCTTCAATTGTAGTTGATAAAGGGAAGATTGCGAAAGATTAACTCACAAATGCCATGCGATAACGAAGATATGACTCATATACTTAGCCTTCGTTTCATTATTTTTTTTTATAGTTTGTCCAATTCGCGTAGTAAATGTTTAGGGAAAAGTAAGATACCGCTATGTTCAACAAACTATTAGTTCAAGTATTGTCCTCCTCGAAAAGAGCCGTCTATAAATCTGCGCACCAATCAAACTTAAACACACATCCAAAAAAGGGGTGGGGTCTTACATATTGGACCAAGGAACCCCAAGTGTAGCTTCCATTTCTAGATTCAGCCCTACCGGGCAGCCGGGCTCGCCAGCTTGCAGTTGCCAGTCATGACCATGTGCTAATTCCATAGCGCCCTTGTCTCGAAACTGGTTCCTGACGATCTAGACCTTTCTCTAGACCCTTCTTTCCACCAAACCGATCAACCCGATCAAACATTACCCATCACTTACCTTAGGTAGGTACCCAAATGCCGTCATACCGGGTCTGCACGCCACTTCCCGCGACCCTCGTGGTAGCTTGGCTTTTTTTGTCCCTTGTCCATTTCTCGGAATGACACAATCAAGCTAATTCAATCTGCACCTCGGCTGGGATCCTGATTATCTTATGTTAGGTACCTAATGTATGTCTTTGCTGTTTGGATACCCAGGTACATATCTGATTATTCTCTACATCCATCTGTTTGTAGCCACCTACGGGTCATCTCAAATCAACTAACTACTAGAATTGCCTCAGCGGTCTTCATTATCTAAAGAACCGCTGGTCAGCCAGCCCAATAACCCTCGGGAATTATCATTGGGTTATCCTTGTGCTCTCCCGAACTCCGATAGACATATTGGTTGGTGTTCGATAGATTGGATCAGATGTCGGCCTCGAAGACGTCGGCCATGTTGGGCTTACGGCCCACGCTGCATACCACCTACTATATAAGGTTGCGATGCGTTTTATTTCCCTTAGTTATCAATATTTAGCTGCTTATAACCCATGCAGACCATATGCCAAACACCTACAGCTTACGTCGTGCAATGTGGAGGGGATATCTATTTCGCGCCAATAGACAGATAGCAAAAAGCCTGAACTAAACAATGAATGGCCATGTCTCTCGCTCACAGGCATAATAAATAATAGAAATAAGGGGTTTCTACCTCATTAGCGAAAAGCAAACCTTGGCTACGTCAAAGCAACCCGGGATCCGCACTAGGTAAGTTCCCCTTTCCATAACCTATAATCTATCTTCCTCTAGAAACTCGCAAATACAATAGTTATATTTATCTAACTTCTATATATATACATACTATAATTTTCTTCGAGACGAAATATTCTTTACCTCCTACATTCCGATGAATTCATGGCTCGTCGAGGTTTGCGCAGATGAATTCATCACACTGGCCTTGTTGACGGGATCTTGCGACAATCCCGAAGGTGGAGTCTTTAGAAAAAAGCTCCCCAACGATCAACTATCCTTACACCGAATCAAATTCTACATGGAATAATTTATTCTTCTCCTATTCGATAACAAATGTAAGTAGAATGCAGCCACGTCAAGATACATGCATAGTCCTACCGAGCCTTAGACAGGTAGCAATGCCTATCTTTACAAGATCAACTAATAAGCCATAAAGCTAGCTCAAAAAATTATTAGAAACCAGTACAATCCGGACATAGAGAAAGAAAACGTAAGGGTTGGCTATCAAGATGTGAGGTGAGCACTGGCTTGAAGCGGTACCTAAAAGTTCTCGCGTTTGCATGGTTATGCAAAGTAACATGTAGGTTTTGATATAGTTATGTACTCCTATTGACAGACTTCCAATAGCATAACTAATCTAGTGCGATATTTACATGGTTGATCGCTCGTGCGTCAGTTCATGATGATATCGTATTAGCATCTGAGAACTCTGCTTTGAAGAGATCCTTCAGCTTACGACGCCCCTAGATACCCGACCAACAACTCGTGGATCGCACAGACATGGGATATGCATGGATTTAGTAGTAAGGGCAGTGCTCTTTTCCTATTCAATGTCAGCCCCCACATCCTGATAGTTTTCGCCTTACACCGAAAAACAGAAGAGGCTACAGTATCCTTATGACCAAACATCTTCCGGTCACTTGGATCGCATCCTACACTAGTTCACAGCCCAGTGATCATCATACGCTTTTACCGATCATCAACTTACCGCTACTATTATAGGTTAAACTCACATGGCAACTTGGCCAAGGAGTGAGCATCAATGTTTAAGAACCTCCTACTGTATCTCATCACAGTGTGGTACAGTATTAACTTCTACACCGATTCATCACGTCTATATGCATTGACTTGAGGACTTGGTAGACGTACCTATTAGCTTACCTTAAGGCATATTCCCGTAGTTCCCGAGCCGAGGTGCATAATAGCTAACATATCAGAGCCTAGGAACAAACGGAGACAGACCTATTTCCTAAAACATGAAGAAATTATCATCTGGGCCGCGTTGGTCTTTCTTCTAGAGACTGTGATAAGATTTGCTTTGTTCATTCAAGTCTTCGTCTCTAATGGTAAGTCATATTGTAATCTCTCCACATTCTAGAAGACCGTGACGACAGGACCCATGTGTAATATATAATATATTCCTTATTCAATCTCAAGAGTTTCCCATTTCCTTTGTATATTTTACTTAATAACCTACTGCACTCTCACTTCCACACCGATAGGTATGCGCCGGTTTTCTACTGAAGAGCCATTTCTATCAAGCTATATCGTTTATTAACGTTATCGTGTAAACAATTGTAGTAGCCTATTATAAAAATTTCCCTTATGATAATTTACCATAGGGCATTTCCTATCGGGATTATTATCATATCCCCCATATACATAAGTAAGTAGTCATCCCCTGAAATCTTCCACTGCATCCCAAGATTAAGTCCTATAAGACCCATACCCACGTCATTTCGTTGTAACATCTTAATCTCACAAGTAAAGGGATCTTACTACCGCTGCATGGGCCATGGAACGACCTAGTCGGTGCCTATTGCTTGTTAATGACTTGATACGAAAGTACTATTCACCATGTATCTTATTGCTAAGAATCAACGTTTCCTGATATGTCGATCTATTCACCTCACATTTCTCCATCATTGTTAAAAAGATCAAACAAAAAGACAGTTGTTCGAAATGGCATGGACGACATACATAGGTACCTAGGTACCCATATACAGCAATATTATGTCTGTGATACGTTTGTAGGGTAGAGAGAACCCCATAAAGCCACATCATTCACATAATTCATAACCCCTATCCCCTAATCAACTAAATAAGTAGTAGGTATGTTTATTTTCCACGTAGATTAAGCTTAGCTTCTAAAAAGGTATAAACCTGAAACTGTCAGATTGATATATCAAAATGTTATTTTAATATATCAAAGGGCCTAGACCTCCATACCGCTAGTCAGGTGGGATAACTTGGCCCATCAGGAGGGATCTCATATACAAGCCCTTAATAGTCACTGGAGAAACCTTACATCCTAGATACACCAACAATCACAAGGGAATCGAGGAGTCAATAATTTCAAGAACGCAGCGGGACATGCATTTTCCATTAACCATCCCTCCGCCAGGGAAGCCTTCCTTTCTTCTAATGGTGACCGCCGCTGCGGTCCTGACCCCCTGATTTTCGAATGCGGAACGGACGCAATTCTCATGCTCACAAAATGCCGGGGAAAGAGAGGAGCCGGGAAACATGAAACGATCAATAAAAACGACCACCAATAATAGGGTCTTCCATGACCTCAAACGCCTATCGCAAACTGGGATATAAAGGGGGGAACCAACCAAAACACAACCGCATGCTCTCTTGTCCGTTCCAACCTGGGTTTTTGGTCTAAAATTTCGATGCGAGAAATTTCCTTCTTCGCAAGTGAACTTTCGTCCCTCTTCCTTTGTACCAACTAGACTTGAGAGACATAACTCTTCGTAACTCTCCTACCAACTTGTACCAAAAACGAACAACACCGGATCTGCAGCAGTACTGCAAATCTTAAAAATGCAAAAGACTATGATCCCTTTCCATTGAACGCCGGAACGCTATGCTCCATAAAACATTAGACGTAACTAGAGTAACATAATGCAATCGGGTGATGGTATATCGAAAACCACGATGGCGGGATGGGGTATGTGATAACGTAAAGAGCGCCGCTTCAAAGCGGAGAGAAGAGCGGGACTATGAGGATGAAGAGTCTGATCAGACTAAACTGCCGCCAGTAGTGATTGCTTGCGCACTAGAGGCACGGGTTGCAGAGCCGGGTCGTATTGTTGATGCGGGACTAAAGTCATCAGCCGCGAACGCTGGTCGAGATGGCTCCCAGCTTTCCTCGTTAAGAACGCTTAGATAACCATTGCCAACTTTGTCTCTTAACGCTTCGATCTTTTGCCGGTAGATTTCGCCACTGACATTCCAATCTTGAGCATCCTTCCACAATTCCGAGGTATCTTTATTCAGGAATGATACCGGCTGTTCGAAGACAGTAGTAGTATTAATTCGTGGCACCTCCGGCGGATTTCCAGTGTCAGATGGCCTTGTTTCTGAGTGTACTTTCGATTGTAGGTCTTGCGTCTCAGGAGGATGGGAGACACGGTAGTTACTTTCCGACTCTACGGTTGCATCAGGCGAATCAGGAGTGGCAGAGGTAGGCTCATCAACGCTGGCTCGCTGCTGCGTGGCATCACTAACGCGATCATTTGTAGCAAGATCAACAATCCTACGTTTCGGGGTACGCCGACGTCTGGTGGAGGTTGTGTTGATCTCGCTAGCTACGGCTTTTGGGGTAGGACGGGAGGGTCGTTCCTTACGCAAGACATTGGGCTCCTTCGGTGTTTCATGAATGATGGCCGGCTTGCTCACGTCCACGGCGGGTATTTCCGGGACGGGAGGCTTCACTACGGGGACGGCAGCGGGTATAGCAACACGTTCCACGAGATATCTCCTCTCCGAAAGGCTCGGGCCTGAACCATCAATAACGATATCCTCTGTATACCCGGGGGTGTTGCGGAAAAGATTGAAAATCGTGATTCGGTAGTCTCGATGAGTGCGCACGAAAGGATTACCCTCAACATAAATCTCGCGGATATCAGGAATTCCGGTTAAGCGAGCCAGTTCCGTTGGGTCGGTCAAACGGTTATCTCTTAGGTCTAGTCTTTCTAGTGGATATAGTTTCTCAATCCCTGCGATTGAGTGAAGACGGTTTGCACGAAGGTTCAAGGCGCTGATAGCCGGGAGAGGGTTACGGAGTAAAGAATGCAGGGAGTCGATCATGCAATGTGAGAGGTTAAGGGCCCGAAGGGCTGTAAGAGTCGCTAGACTATCAGGTATCTGCGTGAAAAGGTTTGTTGACAGGTCTAAGGAGTTCAGGGTGTTCGCCAATGGAGCAAGACTGGCCGCTGGTATCACTGTTAAGGAGTTGTCTGCTAAGCTTAGATGCTTCAGAACTCGCCACTTGGACGCTGGGAGAATACCCATGGATAATAAGTTAGAAGCACTATTTCTTGGGTTATGCCACGAATCCGACAGGCTCGAATGTGAACTGCCAGAGCCCGAACGCCTGACTTTATGAGAACCTCTTGGGTTTGTTGTATGGTGACGAGAAGTAGCGGGGCGGTTGGGAGAATGGCTTCTGGGCCGTGACGACTTATTAGATCTTGGCTCGTCGGTTTCGATCCTGGAGACTGAAGGACGGCGAGAGTCCTGAGCTGATATGCTGTCAGTTGAATCGGTGCTAACCGATCCTACATGTATGTCGGCTACCGAATATCGACGCTCCGGGATTTCTGGCGCGATGGCGGATTTATGAGAATCCGAATACGAAATCGTAGGGCTCCGTCTCGGATTCGAAGCATGCGCATATGCACCCGTAGGGGACGATTGTGCCTTCGAAGACCGACGCCGCCTCTTATCCATGTCATCCAATACGATGTCAATGAGTATATCTGCGGGATCCTCGATATTGGCACGCTTGAGAGTGAGAGATCGAATCTGGTCTGCTACGCGGTCCCAACCAAAGAATTGTCTGTAGTCCACACCATTGACTTCTAATGATTGCAGATTCTTGAATACGTAGAGAGGAACTGCCGAATCGAAGGGAAACTCCTCATATCCTTTAATCAATTTCGTTTGCCAGTCAGGTGCCAGTCGGAGGCATGGTATCTTGGTGAATGCAGAGTAGACATATTTCATATCCGCTTGCAGGGCAGCCTTTTGCCTTTCCATTCGGGCGGCGGATATACTCGACCCAATTCCAATACTATTCCATATAGCCGACATCCCGGTCATGACACTTCGAATACTCGATACAGAACGGATCGATACCACATCAGAACCACGACTCTTAGTATGTTGAGAAGAGCTCAAGAATGACACATAGTTGGCCGAGGCTGAAGTGTCATGTAGGTTTTCTAGACGCACTTTCATGGGTCCAACATGTATTCCTAGCTCTTCGAAGCGAGACAGTAAGTAGAATAAGTGATGAGGTGTAAGGCTCAGCCTTGCTGATTTGACAGAATTAGATGTTAAGCTCAATGAGCCAAAGGACAATGCCGTCGCAAGGGGACTCGATGCTGAGGCGGAGGTTGAGGGACGTTCGGGCAAGGCCGGTGACCTTGGAGTCTGAATAGAGGAAACACTCTGGCTGGTGCCATGTCGGGCGGGTTGCCTCCGAAATTGTAAGGCATTGGCTAAGGCCTTCTCGTTCGTTCGCACATAGGCAGCCAAACGCTTCCAAAGGTTAGTCCTAGTCTTATCTAAAAATTTATGCCAGAAACCATCATACCTTGATATACAGCTCCCCGTCTTCTGAATCCATCTTTGCCTATCGTTGGGGAGACATGGGGAGTAGTTGAAGATAATGTCTGCGTAGCGAGTTGGCTTTATGTATCTCGGAAGACTACTCGAGTTCTTCCGATGATTAAAGATGCTCAAGTTCCTCTAGTTGGAAAAGACCCTATCTAGTTGCCTGTTTGGTCCGAAGACGTTCCTAAATTGCAAAAAAAAATTGTATTAGTGCTGGTAGTTGAAACTTAGATTGGCCATTGCCGTTGGAATAGATTGTCTACATTGCCCACAAAACGAGCAACTAGCCAGCCATGAAACAGGTGGTGTAAGGGGAATAGTAGTGTCCATGACTCGAGGAAAGTCTAGGCTGTTGACTCGTAATCTTGGATCTATATATCCACGTGGAGAGGACTAAAGCCATCTTCAGTGCAAAGAGTCGCGCATTCATTCACGGACCAAAACACAACACAGACAAGCAGATATCAGAGATCAGAGATCAGGGATAAACTAGATGATTTTGTCCAAAAAGACAAGTGCGTCACGGCCTAGGCAAGGATAGATACAAAGAAGCAGAGTTCTAGATCAGGCGATTATGTGATTCGGAAGAGATCTGGGCTAGAGGAATAAATGTGAGATGATTGTAGGTGACAATATACATACCTCTTGGTTGTAAATAAGAAAAAAAAAGGTTCCCTCTTCGAGACGAATATCAGGTCGTCTCAGGAATGTGCAGCAAGCACTATGATTATTATTAAAGGGAGGGAGGATCTAAGCCCAGAGAGAGCAGACGGATGGATAAAAAAAGGAGAGTAGGATTTTGCAAATTGTTCAACTGCAAATGTCGAATAGCAACGACGAGATATCTCCTACTCTCAACTTTTTCGGCACTGCACCCAGGACGAAAGGGTGTCGAACAAAGTGCTAAGAGGACGGAGAGGAGGTTGCGCGGCGGTTGGGGAGGTGCAAAGAGATATACCAAATAATAAAATTGGTCAATGGGTCGGCCGACTTGCCCACAGCATCCATAAAAGCCCACATGCAAAATGCCAAGCCCACATAAAATTGGTGTGGTGGGTAGCGACTGCTGGGGTGTTCTCGGTCTAGTGTGGGTACCGGTGTCCACCTGAACAAGCGAATTGGGTACGGTGGACTATTAGTCCAACTGTGCCAAAATCAAAAAAGTCGGTCGTACTATATCTAATAAGGTAATAGTAATATTAGGAATATAGTAAAAACTCGGCTATTTCTACTATATACACAATTTATAAGGTAATATATACCTTTTATATGAAGATAATTTTACAAATATACGTTTAAATTATTTGAAAAGGGTATTAATATTTGTATTAAAAAAAAATAAAAATTTTAACCTTGGTTTTATATTATTCGATTTTGAATTTGTAAAGATATTAAAAAATATAAGTATTATTCAATATATTGCAAGCTATTTTCTTTTTCTCTACGAATTAAAAATAATAACCAATAAGATTTAACCTTTATTTTAACCTTAAATATATACAAATACGTATTTAAATATATAAGATGCAACTTATACATTGTAATAACTTCGCGAATATTTTATTTTATAAATTAAAATTGGTATTATTTTATAGCCTCAATTAATGCGAAAATAATAATCTAAATTGCATTTTTATATATTTTTAAGCTAGAGCATTATATTAATATTAAATAGGTGCTATGTAAAGAGATTAACACGTGATATCCTTTAAGACTAACATTTTAAAAAGGCCATAAATATTTTAACAATAAGCCAATTATCTAATACGTATCTTACAAACATGTAACTTGGATTATTATTTTCGCATTGATTAAGGCTATAAAATGATACCAATTATAATCTTTGAAACAAGATATTCCTGAAGTTATTTTGGTGTATAAGTCGTATCATATGTACGTATATATATGATAACTATATAATAAAAAATAAAATAATAGAAAATCTTATATTTCAGGTATTTCAGGATACTGTGCACCTAGCGTTGCTTACTAAATTACCCTTTTTGGATAGCTCCCACCCATTTTCTTGATTTTGGCACAGTTGGACTAATAGTCCACCGTATTGGGGCAAAATTACGTGCCTACGTACCAGTACTCGACTTGCACCCACCGTAGGAATTTTAGTGCTTGTTTCTAATATCTGATAGTGACTTACAGCGGTTTTAGGCCACCTTACACAGGCCTGACACCCCGCCATTGTCTCTTATTGTCTCTTAGAGCCGCCTACAAGCTTTTAGAACCAAAAAGTTCCGTAACTTCCCATAAGTGGGCGAGGCTCAGGTAGATTTGGCGCCAGAGCGTCAGATGGGCGTGGGTTCATTAGAAGGACCCATACGCATTTGACCACTCGATAGGTCACACTTGATCTGATCAGCCATAAACTGCAACCAATAACAAAGTTTTCGTCTTGTCTGTTTGACAGCTGCATTACATTTACACCTTTACGGGCGCTTTTGCATCAGTATTATATGCAAAGTCTCTATACATACAGGAAGACCATACATGATATAGGTAACAAGGCCACTTCAGTTTTTTTTTTGTGCAAATTGCCATGTCTTTAATGTTTTACGCTACACTATGTCCACCCAGGCACATAATGAAATGTGAATCCGTCTTGCTCGGTCGTCGCAGTCTAACCACCTAGGGAATGTCTATTCATTGGTCGTCCTAGCTAGGATATCGATCAGCACGGCGAGACAATCATGCATGGTCTATTTTACTCCTACATAATACCTAACAACCTAACAACCCAACAAGCTAACATTAATCAAATCATCTCTCAAGGAGTGCTGGCCTTGGAAAGAGACTTGGTTTTGATCCGAGCAAATGGTATCGCATCGGATAATTCCTGTCTGACAAGTATAAAAAAAAATATAAAAAAAACTATCCAGAAATTACGACTACGATTACGATTTCAAACGAGGTTCGTAGAAAAGTGCAGAAGAAATTTGGTTGAATTTGTCGGTGCCCAGCTTTTGCCCGGCTTGCCTGTTGCTTGCCCAGCAACCAAGGCCAAAGCGTATCAACGAACCAACCAGGATGTACCCCCATGCAAAGAACATGCTCGAGACTCTTAATCGGTGCGGATGCTAATTACTATGGACTGGGTAGGTATGATCACGACCCATGTCAATATCAATGGGGACTCGAATATGGGTTCACGACCCCTCAACCGGCATCAATTTGCAACTTGAAATATCACCTTTTCCCTTTGAAAAAAACACCTGATAATCTATGCAATGCAGGACATAACATTCGAGCTTCTGTAACCATCTGGGGGTCTACTATTAAGGTTGAATGCAAGATTGATCGTAAGATAAATATGCTTTTTATCGGACACTTTTTTGTTGTTGACATTCTAGATTCTAGATATCTCTTCATGTTTCAACTTAGCTCCTATACACGGAATACACTGCATATACTGCATATAATGGCTAAAGGTCTCACATATACCCCCTATTACGTAGCACAGCAGCTCACCCCTATTCTCTTTTACTTTTTTTTTTCCTCTTTGAACCTGCTAAACTTACATACATATATGCCACGTATATCGAACCTATTATATATCAAGGGCGCCGTTTTCCTTATTCCCTTCAGCTTTTATTTACTTTCATTTGCATTTTGTTTACAAATTTCTTCAATAGGTCACCTCCTTGTACGCCGGATATTACACTTTGCTATATTATCAGGGTTATCCTTCGCAGTTAATTATCAGTTTTAAAGCGCCGCGCCGCGCCGCCAGCCCCCAAGCGCCATCCTCTCCGGGATCTCTAGGCGAGCTTAGCAGTTGGCAGCTTTAGCAGCTTAGCTAATAAAGTCCCAGGTAAATTTTGCCCACTTTCAGAGGTAGCGTATATCAGGGTCCTTTCATGGGTCCCCGGTCCATTCCTTCATCTCGCATCCTTCGTATCTGATCGTCATAATATGTCCCGCCCGCTGCTCTGTACTTGTACAAAGGACGCTGAGACCATTGTCTGTGCACTCCCCCCCCCCCCCCCCCCCCCCCCCCCCCCACCCAACCTTCCAATCTAACCTAACCTAGGTATCTCACCTACCCATCTCGTATGATCTAGCGTCCACTGCTTGAATCCCATGATCTATTAGAACAAGCGGGTCTGAATAGCCTCAGGTCTAATCATCTATACTCATTTAATGACACACGCCATCTAAGCGCCGGATCTTTTATTTCATAATCTTGCTAGTTTTGAGACGACTTATATTCGTAGTTTGGTTCTGATCAACCCATCTCTTGACTAGTAATGTGCTGATCTTGGCTATCGCTCCATATATTGTATCCATTCACTGGCTCGCCCGCTTACTTACTTGTTCATCTCCTAGTCCTGTTCTTCTCGGCGTGTTTCGTTGCCGTTGCTAGATTAAGATGATCTCTTTCATCTATAGATTTCCATTACGGTACACTCTTTCACTGATTGGCTGTCGCCTAAGCCTTGCATTCTTCTACGCCTAATTACCCAATACTAGTGGAGGTTGGCTACCCATAATACGTCAAATCCGGCAAGGCTAGATATCTAGGTCCCGAGGACCCCCTCTTGACAACTTCGAGTTCTTCCCGAACGTGGGGAGGCATTATGTCATAGGCTGCACACGAAAATAACTGCTACGATATAAGTTGGGGTCCGTCAATAACACCGTCGGCCGCTTATAGGTTCACCTGATGAAAGCAATGTCATCTTGCTTTCAAAACGACCTGACGACGTAGTTGACGACCCACTGGTCTATTCTCTACTCTGTCATCTCTGTTCTGTACGAATATGATCACCACAAACGCGTGGCTTCTTTCTTGCATATGTTTCAGATAATGTGAATGGCACCAAAGCTTACTGATGGCGTGCTACCCAATGTCTCTAGCATAGTTGGTTGAAGACTAGGACATATGTAGATAGATGACTGGGGTGAAGTTGACGAGAGGGGTAAAGCCGGAAGAGAGACCAGATTGCCCATATGAAAGATAGGCACTAGAACGATCCCGTCTGTCTATCAACTTATTCCCTC